TGTGACAGACCTTAGGTGGCTATCCTCTTGCTGCGATAGTAGCAAGACTTGGCTTTCTGGACTCATGCCAACGTCAGGGAAAGGATTCTGCTGTCGGTCCCACTCCAAAGTTCACAAAATGGGTGGTGGGCACAGAATCCAGACTCTGCTTGTGGCATATGTCATCTGGTCCCCGGCCCTCACTGGCTAGCCCAATACAGAAGGCATGTTCTGGATGTCATGCTGACTCTGGGAAAGATTGGGCTTATGATGTTGGGGCTGCTCAGCCCTTTTGTGCAGAGAGGTCATCAGTCTGGGATTCATTTGCAGTTTTCTTCCTCTTTTACCCCACCCTCCCCTTTATTTTCAATCTTTTACTTGCTTTGTGTATGAGGCTAATCAAATGGTGAACCAGTTGTTGTTGTTAAATGTTAACTTGCCCTTTGATGGATTCTTGGGTGACGATGATACCTATGTGGGGCTAGAGGTGGTGCTGAGGGGGCTACACGAGGGGCAGCTCTGGGTGTCAGCATCGTACCCCACTGAGCTCCTTCCAAATGCCATTGTCTCCCAGGAAGGGGGCTCTATGCCTGTGCAGGGAACCTGGGGTTGCTCCCTCTCTGGGGTCTGGCAACGCGGAGCTGAGTGTGAGCAGGGCTTTATCTTCATCCTCAGCAGTGTGCCCATGCATGGCACCCTCTTTACAGTATAAGATCTGCCTGGGTCTCATGCTCAACTTCTGGGGAGGGTCCAGGGAGGTGACGGATGGTAGATTCACTCTGGGGAGGTGATGGGACGGTTGCCTTCAGCAGTTGGGGAGGTCTTGTAGAGTGTGAAGCTCTGGCCCCTGAATGCCCAGCATCTGTACTACCCTTGGGGAAGGTCTTCTGGAAGCACCCATCTTGAAGTATCCGACTTAGTCCGAGCTTCTCCATGGTACTCGGGGAGAGGTTACCCGAGCAACTTTGCATCTGGACGACGAATGTTGCTCGGTGAACCCCTTTTCGGTATCAAATTCCACCAGAGAGGCCCTCTCGGAGGCCGCGGCACCTCGGGAAAGAACGCCGGTATCAGCACCGCTCTGGGGTACGGGGATGGATGGTCGACCAGTTGGAAAGTAATTGTTTCTAATGTACTTCACCTGGTCCACTAGCCGTCCATACCCGCTGCAGCCTGCGGGCCTGGGGGAAGCCGACTGCTCCTCAGCTCAGCGCTGTGCCTGGTACTTGAAGGGAGATCGACCGTGTTATATTCGCTTTATTGACTTCGAATAATACATGGTTGATCTTTTCTCAGTATCAAATCTCACCTTGGAGGACCTCTTGGAGACAAAGCCCTTTTGAGGGTGGAAATGGCGTGGGGGCTTTCAGGTCACTGCCTGGGCGGAGGCCTGGTCACTGAGCTGGGCTGGGCGGGGTGTGTGCTGCCTGTCGCTGTGTGTTCTCACCTTTGGTGTCCCATGCCTCCTCAGGACGGCTTCTGGGAGGCGATGCCGGCACCATGGGACGCAGCAGCCACAGTGGTCCTTGAGTTGGCGCCACTTTGGGTACTTGAGGAGAGGTTGTCTGTGATGAGTTCGCTTTATTAATGACGAATATAACACAGATGGCCTGTTTTCAGTACCACCTACCACGTGCAGTGTGTGGGGGGCACCACGCCGACACAGGGCCAGGCCTGGGGCCGGCCCTTCCAGGGTATGTGAATGCATGGGCTCTGTGTATGACATTTTCCCCATCTCTGTCAACCCTCAGCACCGAGTCCATTCTGGTAGAGATTCCTGGGGGCCACATGCCTTTGGGGGAGAGGCTGGGGTTTCAAAGTGGGGGAGGCCTGTCATGGAGCATTCCCTCTGTGTGTGACCAAGGACCCGGGTTCAGCCCATTTTCTGTATCCAGTGCCACTGAGGCAAAGGACAGCTGCCCCTCATCAGGCTCTCCCTGCTGGGGCCAACCACATGTGTGCCCTGCACCTGGGGTGCCCTCCTCCTCCCAGTTCCATGCAGACCCTGGGCAGGGTGACACTGCCCTTGGAGGAGCCCGCAGTTCTGCTTGCTGAGCACGTGGTGCCTGAGGAGAGGTTGCCCGTGGCGCGTTCGCATGCATCATGACGCACAATACACGGTCGACCTCTTTTCAGCACCAAATCCCGCCTTGCATGCTTCCTGCGGCCTACTCGTGTCCGCAGGGATGTGACTGGCCCGCCCCACTGGCCCTCGGGTGCATGGCTGGGGGCTGAGCATGTGCCTGGCTTGCCTCCATGGCCTTGTGTGTCCCTCTCCTGGAGGTGGGTGGCAGGAGGCCATCTTTGAGGAAGAAGCCTCCTCTCTCGAGTCAGCGCTGCTTCATGATACCTGGAATAGGTTGCCTGTGAGGTGTTCACTTTCTATACGATGAATATTATACAGTCAACCTCTTTCCGGCATCGAATCCCGCCTTAGACCACTTCCAGTTCGTGATGCTGACTCCAGGCAGCAGAAGCCTCTGCGCTGGTTGACCCCATGGATTTTGCGCAGGGCCTGTGGCACCTCACCTATTAGTTTTCCAACTCCAGACTGTTCTGGAGGGCTTTTGAAAGCATGACGGAATGGGCTCCCCAATTCCGGAATACTTAGTACCACCAGCTAGGTCCCTGCTTCTGGCAGTAGTCACTCCCAGGCTTTACCTCCTGAGGTTCAGTTCATATCTGCACCCCTGCCCTGCCAGGCCACGGCAAGGCTACCATAGAGGCTTGTTTTCAGCTGACCTGGAGACTTAGTGACTCCAGAAAGTGCTGCCCACACCCGGGTGGTGGGCAGGGCTCAGGGCCATTGGCGTAGTGCATGCCAATAGCGCCTCCAAAGGGTGAGCTAAGGCTGCTTGGTATTTTTTAATTGTTCCCTGGGCTGCAGGAAGTTCTTTCTGAACGGAGCCTGCATCACCCCCACTGGAAGTCTCAGCTCTGTGCATGCCTTTCCCTGCGTGGGCTTCCTCTCCTGACCTCCCCTTCCCTCAAAGCCCATGGCTGCAGCACTGCTGAAGGGGCTGCTCTCCCTGGCCTGGACCACTGGACAGGCTCCCTGTAGGGTCTCCCTCCAGTGCCCTCTCCTCCTTCTGCCAGGGAGAAGTTTCCTTTCTCGGGGATTCAGGATTCTAAAGGGGATGGAATGTCCTTTTCCAAGCAAAACTGATCTTCCTGACAAAAGCAGTCCAGCCCCACCTCTCCCTAGTCACATGCTGTCACCCTGTTGTGATTTTGATTTTCTTCCTAGCTTACTGCTCTCCAAAATTGCATGATGTTAATGTCTACTTTCTCACACCCACCGCCCCCACCCCTACACTAAGATTTCTCAGGGCAGAGATTTTTTTTCTTTATGTCTTATTCTTTGCTGTTCCCCCAGCCCTGGGACTCAGGCCAGGCCCTTATTAGCAGAATATTGAGTGTTTGTTGATTGACTAATGGAGTCCCCCAAAGCAGGGAGACTGTATCAGGTTAATCCCCAGGAAAGTGCCGGGCATAAAGCAGGCATTGAATAAGATGTGGTGACTGAGTACATGAATATGGTAATAGGTTCTTAGAGATTCTTCACATTTGTGAAATGGTGTTTGGTTTTCTAGCTCTTTCTGCCCCTTTCAGGACGGCATTTCAGAGTCTGAGGTTTATTGGAAAAGGGACAGGTCAGTTGGGTCTGGGTTCTTCTCTCTACTTTTTCAAGGGTGGGGGGAACAGAAGCTCCAAAAGAAGTGACAAGCCCCAGCGTTATCCTGCAGCTGCTGGCTGAGCGTGACCCCCCACCTCCAGCAGAGCCAGGTGCTCTGGAGAACTCCATCTGCAACAGGCTGGAGCGTGGTGTCACGGCTAATAGTTTATGCACGGAACTGACTAAATGGGAACATTTGGAGAGGAAAATTGCTGTTAATGCATCTACACATCTTTGGGATATATTAAATGTGTGTCGGGGGAGACCGACATCAGCCTTATTTAATGGCTCCAGCGTAACCATCCTCACATAAAAGCATTAAAAGGCTGGCTGCCCCTTGAGTCTCCTGGCCTCCGTGCAGGAGAAGCGCTGGGCACGCCACCTGCCACCTGAGAATTATGCATGAGGCAAAATGTCAGCCTGAGCATTCAGCAGCCTGCATGTTCCCAACTTATTTTAGGCCCAAAGACAGTGACCCTATGTCGCACAGTGCAGAATTTCATTAAAACCAAAATTACTGATTTATTTATTGTTTGAGGAGAAGAGAAAATAAACAAAGGGACTTTCTCATCTGACAAGCCAAATGAAAATGCCTGTCCCCCAAGCAGCCAGGATGAAGGTCACTGTGCACCCTTCAGACAGAGGGCCAGTTACTTGGCTCATCTCCAGGGTGGTGTGTAAACCCAGCCTCCAGTCCGAGTTCATGTGGCACACACCGTTTTCCGGTGCCTGCCATGTGCAAGGGCCCAGTTCATCCCCACCGTGCCTCTTGGACATGATTGGGATATTGACAAACTGGACCTATGTCCCCATTCCCATCTTGTTCTCAAGGGGAGATAAGAAGAAAAACAGTAGCTGCCCTGAAGAGGCATTTGCCTTGGTCCTGAGCCCCATCGGCTGTGGGAGTTCTGTTTTTCAGACAAGGAAATGAAGCACAGAGAGGTCGAGTGACTTGTCCAAAATCACCCAGCTGGAGGCCGAGTGGGGTCTGGCTCCAAGCTGCATGTTCTTAGTCATCCTACTTGTGGCAAAAAGAGTAGCTTTAGGAATTAGCCCCTGTGTCCTGTAAGACGTTAGCGCAGGCTCATCGAATCAGCCTCGAAATTTTCTGTGCATGATGAGGTAGGCTTGCTTTTCCCAGGACTTAGCTTGCCAGAATCATATTCATGGTTCTTTCCTCTGTAGCCACCCGGTGTCTCTCCAGGTGTTGCCGTCACCCATGGAATGGGGTGTTTGGTTCATGCCTGGCCTGGGGAAAGGGCTACTTGCTTTGTCAGGAGACCCAGGACATGGTGGGCAAAGGCACACATTGCTCTGGGTCTCTTGCTCCCATTTGACAGTGTTTGAGGGCTGTATTGGCTCCTGCAGTTGTGTGCAGTGACAGAGACCTGGCCCAGTGGCTGGTGAGCATGAAGCAAGAGCTCAGACCATCCAGCCCACCTGTGCCGGGTGGGACCACGCACTCCCACTCTGTGCTCCTCCCATTGACTGTGCACCTGTGTGGTCTCAGTGGCTGCTGCTATCCTGGAGACCCCCCAGAACTCCCAGTCCACATGGGACCTCAAGGATGCAGAGAACCCCCAAATGCCAGGGCTGAGCGGGACCCCCGAGTTCATTCCCCCTTTCACATCCTATGAGAGGTAAGAAAACTGAGGTCTCTGGTAGGATGCTTTGCTGTGGGTTCTTTTTTTCCTGCTGAGGATTGTCTAAACTTTGGGGTGGAAACACTGGGGTAAGAACCCACCTCCAGTGACTAAACAGTGTCTTTCTTTGTATATACCAGGGTGACCTAGTGCGGGAAGGGCTGCAAAAACACCAAGTTGGGACCTCAATGTCCAAAGGGGTGGGAGGAGGACTGTTCCCCTGCAGTAGAGCTTCTGGAAGCCAGGTCCCTTGACTCTGCATGTTGGCACATAGTAGGTGCTCAGCCAGCACCTGTCTCCCTGTATCAGATCTGGCCACAGACACCAGCACATAGTAGATGTTCAGCACATGAGGAGGGGGTGTTGAATCTGGCCTTTGTATCGCCTGGAGGAAGTGGACACGAGGCATTCAGAGAATGTTTGTGGAATGAATAAATAAAAGCATGTTCTCTTAAAGAAGCAGAAAATGCAGAAGAATCCAGGAAAGACAGGCATAAATCTCCACCAAGTGCTGCCAAGACTGCAGCTAAGGCCACTGAAAAGTCCCTGCAGATGGAGAGGGGCCATTTGTCATGGACGGGGATGGGCTTGAGGGCCAGGGAGCAGGTCGTGATGGAGGACCATTTGTCATCTTCCTATTATACCCATGCCACTCACATCATCTGCATGCACAGCCACCTGCCCAAGGGCACCAGGCCCTGAGCCCAGTGAGTGTGGGGCTGGGGGCCTGAGGCTGGGAGTGGGAAGGACCCTAAGGAGAGGCAGGCTGGGCTGGGTGAGCAGGCAGCCCGGCGGGGAGTCCACCTCCTCCAGAAAGCCTTCCCTGACTGATCCTGCACATGCAGAGTCTCAGTTTGCAGTCAGATATTCATTACTCTGATTCTCTGATCAACAGGTATTTCCCTACCCACACTTCAAGCTCTGCTGGAGCAGGGGCCATTTCTGATTTGTTCACCATGGTATGCCTGTACCCGGCACAGGATCTTGTCTGGAGAAGGTGTTGCGTGATGCCTGCGGCCTTCCTTCCCTTTGCAGGCCAAGTGCTGGACCGGGCACTCGGCAGGTCTTCAGTATGTGGACATCAAGGAGCAGAGCCTTCCATTGATCCCAACCATGAGCCAAGAACAGGGACACAGGCATCCACACCAGGCTGCTTGTGCCAGGAGAGATGTGGCTGTGAGCTGGGCAGCCCGGCCAGACCCCAGAAGCATTCTCTGGGTCTGGTAAGTTCTGTCAGAGAGACCAGTAGTACCTCCCTCTAGGCCCGGAGCAGGCATGGGATTTTTCCAGGGCACATGGGGTCTATGAGAGACCCAAGCCCATTTTTCAGGTGGGTCTCAAGAAGGCAGAGACCATGCCTCCTTATTCTGTGTAGCTCCTCCTGGCTCCCTGTTTGCTGAGCAAATGAATGAAACAGGCCTCCTGATTCCTGCCCAGAGCTCCCTCCGCACCCCACAGGGCCTTGCTCCAAGGAGAGGGGTGTAAACCCTATAGGGAAGTGCCACGGTGAGGGAGCCTTGACTAGACTAGGCCAGGGTCCCTAGAGGGTGAAGGCCTCTGGTCTTTCCTGGGGTGAGAAGCTGTTGAGAAGGTGCACAGAGCCTGGGATGCAGGAAACCATCCAGAACACTGTTTTCCACCATCTGTGATATCTTCATTTTCTCTAACACTCAAAAATAGATGTTTCTGTTATGCTCTCTCGTTGGCAGGGGAGTGGTGGGGCCTGCCAAGGCCTGGGGGAGCCCGCCAGCCTGCTGCGTTTTACTGTACAAACAGTTGGGGGGGGGGAGCCTGTCTCTGTTAACTCGAAATCCCCCAATCAGTAAACATGCCAATTTAAAGTGTAATTAACTCAGGCCGGAAAAAATTCAGATTTGGACTGCTTTTCACAGTTGAGGTTGTTTTTCTTTTATTTATTTATCTCTTTCCGGGTGTGGTGGTGTCTGTGGTGGGTTTTAGCCAGGAAAAATAGAAGGGGAGACTGGGTGGGGAGGGACTGGTTGGGAGAGGAAACACTGGAAGAAAAGGAAGGAGAAAGGGGAGGTTGGAATGACAGCTTGGTGTCTCCATCTATTTTCTGTCCTGGGGGGTGGCTGTCAGGGTGATGCCCACCCTGCAGATGAGGAAACTGAGGTGGAGCGTAGTAGACACTCACAGTGAGGGTGGGATGCAGACCCCTGTGCCCGCTGGCTGGGTGACTTAGAAGTCGTGGGGCGCTATGGGAAGACCCCAGGAAACCCTTGGTACTTCTGACTGACACTCTCTCCACTTCTCTCTCCTTCAGTGGAGTCTCAGCCCCGGATCTGCTCCAAAATGTTCCAGAATGTTCCCTGTCCTTGGAGAAGGCCAAGCCCCCTGCAACCCCCAGATGCACAGTACCCTGCCGGACCCGTGGCTTCTCCCCACTTCACCCAGCAAGAGAGAGCCCCGGGGCACTGAGAAGCCTCCTGTATCCCCCCACACTTTAAAGGACCCTGATCGAGTACCTGGGGGCCAAGCCCTCACCGGGACAGCAGCAGCCTTCGCTGTGGGAGCGGGTGTGCTGCCTGGGCACTGGGATAAACACCGAGTGGCAATAAACTGGATGAAAGAGCAGAGGACATGTGCTCCTCTCCCAGCGTGGACAGCGAGGCTGGGGAGGAAGGCAGGAATTCCTCCTCTTTGTTTTCAAACACTTTGAATGTTGTCAAGCCATTTGAATAATAAATACACAGTATCAAGATGTAAATATGATTGTGTGTCTGTATGTTCACAGAGGATGCTTGTTAAGGCCATCTGCCTTCAGAAGGAACTCTCATAGAATGTCACCCCCTTGCCCAGGAACACTTTGCAGGGAGCAATGTCCTGAATCTGGGGTTCGCTCCTGGGCCCACCCCTGCTGTGTGTGAGCCCCACATCCTGAGGCAGGAGCCAGGGCTACGAAAAGACATGTTTTTCTATGGATCTGAGGTCTCAGATGGCTCCCCGCCCCGCCGCCTGCCCATTCCGGGCCTGGGGCTGGCTGGCGGCCCCCCCGTGGGGCAGAGGCCAGGACCCAGAGGCACAGCCGGTGCCCACGCGTCAGCGCTGCAGCCTCCGCTTGGTCACGACACAGCCGGGCTGACTCAGACACAGCCCCGAGCGCGAGCCTCATAAATTACATAATTACCTATGAAACCTGCCGCCGCAGCTCTCCAGCCGGGAAGGACACGCTCCGGCCGGCGGGTGACTCACACTGTTTTCCCCAGAGCCGCTCGCCCGCTCTAGCCCTCTGCCACCTCAGCCTGAGCTGGCTGGCAGGGGAGGGGGCGCCCAGCTTGGCTGTTCCCCCACTCCGCTGCAAATGCAAAAACAGGCAGCCACCATCGTGCTAGGGCTTTCGGTGGGGGGCACCTTCTCCAGACTCCCTCCGCAGCCCCCCGCAGTGGTGCTCTGGATGGACCGTGGCATATGACAGGAGGAAACTTGAGGCCCAGAGAAGCTTCCTTCCTGGCCCCTTCCATCCCACAGCCAGAGGGTGGCTTTGGCTAGGGCCTGCAAGCAGCAGGAGACCCTTGGGTGAGCCCAGCTGCTGGGGAGACCCTTGAAACCTCCTGCCACTCCCCACCCCGCCCCTGGGCGTGATACCTCCAGCCCCTTCTCCAGAGTTCCTTTGGTGGGGGCAAACTCCACCTTTTTGGAAAACACTTCGGTTCTTAAAAGTGACTTTGAGTTTGGGAAAGAGACATAAGGTAGCCTTTGCCACCCAAGGTGGGTGTCCATACCAGGTGGGGGGAGGCACTGGGAGAATGCTATTCTAAAAATTTTTTAAATAAAAATACCTAGTAAAATGAGATCTGGTGGTGATGGGCTCCAGAGTTTGAGGACTTAGGTTCAAATCCAGCCTTTGTCACTAGCTGGCACCATGGCTTTCTTGTCTCTGAGCCTCAGTTTCTTCATCCACAAAGTGGGCACACTACCATCCACCTCCCACGCAGGATGAGGCCTGTCCCCCAGGTCTGACTAGCACGATGTTGATGTCACCCCAGTAGCTCCACTCTGTCTCTCCACTTTGCCTCCAGTTCACAGCTCTGTCCTGCCAGCCATGACCCCTTCAATGACTTTCAGAGGGTTGAGGAATGTGCACGTGCGTGTAGATGATTGCACACACCACTCCACGGACCCCGGTACGAGCACGTGCACACGCATGCTGTCATGCATGTGAGGAAGAGGGGGCATTCTGCGCACTCAAGCCAAGGTCAGGGACCTGGATAGGGTAGGAAGGGGCTGAGGGAGTCATGCAGTAGATGCTGTGCTAGGGGAAGGTGAGGAACCGGGCACACTGGGGGTGGGTGCTTGCTGTATCAGGAGCTGGGCTAGAAAGAAAGGTTCGGGATCAGAGGGTCCCCTGTTCTCGCTGAGCACGGCTTCTCACTGGTTCTGAGCCTAAAGCAACTGATACCCTCTGCAGCAGCCCCTAGGTCACTCTGTCTGGTGCCCCGAGCCACAGGACTTTCTCATTCTCTCCTGGTCCACTAATGAAGCTGACCCCACTCTGCCCCTTGGTGGTGAGGCCTGTCTTCTCACAGATGGGCAGTTTCTTCCACTCACGTCCAGTTCCCCTAATGGCCATGCTCGTTTGCTTCCCGGGAGCTCCGGAGACACTGTTCCTGCTTCAAGGACTGTTCAGCCAGCCACCCCCCTGCCCCCTTTGGTGGGTGGCAGAGAGAGTGGCATGTCTGACTGAGCGTTCTGGCATCATACACGGCGCAAGAATAAAATGGAGTTTCTTGCACAGAAAGTTTGTGTTGCAGAACACGATGAAGTTTCCAGGTCTCAGGAGGGGAAGAGGGTGGTTCTGAGAGGTCAGCGGACTGACACTGCCCAAGCGTACCCCCCACTTGGGCACGAGCCCTGCTGATGGGGATCCGGGCACAGGTGGCATCCACGCTGTCAGAGCCTCATGCTCCAACACATCTGAGCAATGGTCCACTCTTCCGTGCACTTGCGGTGTGACTTTAGGGAAGTCACTAGAAGCCCCTGAGCTTCAGTTTCCTTATCATACCACTTGGGGTCCTGGGAGAGACTTGAGAGCATGCATGGCACAGTGCCCAGCAGAGGGCCGGTGCTCCAGCACTCTGAGGTTTCTTGGCCAGCCTTCTCTGCCTCCCCCACCCCAGCGCATGCCTGGTTTAGATATTTGGGGGATGCTGGGAGCACGGAACAGACCACCTGCCCCTGAGGTGAGGCCGCTGGGCACTGGCCTCTTCCCTACAGAGGGAGAAGACGTGAGCAGAGCCCTCGGAGGGCAGTTCCAGGGAGGGGGGGTAGGGGCTGTCTAGGACCCCAGGAAGCGAGGGCTGCCTGCCACTTCCCTGCAGAGTCATGGCTGGGTCAGGTGGGGCAGTTGTTTCTCTCCTGTCTGCTGTCTTCCTCCCTTTGCCGTTTTCCTGGCAGCGCTGACTGCAGGGTACCTGTGAGGGGGTTCGCCTGGGCTTGATGCAAAGAGATGGTGCAGACCACCCTTCGATGGGAGGGAGGACAAATCATTTCATCAGCCTCCCAGGAGCCCCGACAGCCAGTGGGGTTTTCAACTGCCCTGTGCAGCGCAGTTCCCAGAGGCAGTGCCCCTGGCCTAAAGGCAGACAGCTGTTCTGTTTCTCTCCAACTTTCTCTCTTCTCTGGGACTCCTGGAGCGCTTGTGATTACAGCTGAGTCTCGGCTAGGGGCTCATCGGCCTTTCATGGCTGCATAGCACTTTGTCACTTCTCACAGGCCAGGGGCCCTGAGTGTCCATTCATATTCCATATGTTCCACTTCTACTTACCAAGTGGTCTCCCAGCACCCTGCTCTGGACTGAGACCTGGATTGAGAGGACCTGGCCACTCTCGAGCAGCAAACCTGCCCGGGGAGACAAAGATGCGAGACCTTAAGAGGCCTTGGACAGTTAAGGGCAGTGGGTATCCACCCTCTGGGTTGTGGAGAAAGACCTCAGTAGAGCAGGATGAACCCACAGCCAGAGCTGGGGTCCAGGCCAGGAGGTCCCTGCCTTTCCATCCCTTATCTCTCAGAACGCCCCTGCCCCTAGTAGCCACCTATTAATATCAACTTTCCTGTTTTCAGCTTGAAAAAAGGAAACTCAGGCCAGGGAAGCAACCTGCCTGTGGTCCCATGGCCAGTGGGTGGCGGGGGATGATGCGTCTTCAATCATGGCCCCCACCCCAGGGGGAGAAATCCATCTTGCGGCCCCAGGGCAGGGGTGGACTTTGAGGGGGTGCAGAAGAGTGTGGGGAGAGGTAAAATCACCAAAGGCTGCAGAGTAAAGGCCAGAGCAGCAGCTGGGCAGGTGGAGGGGCTGCATGGGGAGGTGGGAGCTGGGCGGGAGGCCTTGGGGGTCACTGTCCTCCCACCCGGGACTCGGGCAGGCCATTGTTGTTCTCTGGATACACAAAGAAGAAAAATTGGTTGAGGGGGGGTGGAGGGGGACAGCAGAGGCAGAACAAATCACCCTCCCCTTGAGCCCGGGATGGCGCAGCAGCACGGCTGAGAACAAGGCCGCCGGTTGCTAATGGGCTTGGGGAAAATGGGATGCAATTTAGCTGGTGTTTTTCAGGCCCAGAGCTATTGAATAAATGAAATTCAGGCGGGCCGTGTGAGTCACTGTCGCACCGCCCCGCTCCTGGCGGTGGCAGAGGCTGCGGGGGTGGGGGCTGCGGAGCCCGACCCTGGGGGGGCCCCCTGAGGAGGGCAGCGTGGGGTGGGGGGCTGCAGAGCTGCTGTGCGTGGGGCGAGGCAAGAGTGACGGCAGGAGGGGGGCGGGGGCGATGGAGCGAGGGACTCGGACCCGGACATTGGTCCTCAGGGGAGGAGGAGACGGCGTGGACGGAGAGCTTGCTGCAGATCTTGAGCTGCCCCGCAGGGGGCTACTGCTGGACGACCACAGTCTCTGACTTGCAATTAGGGCCCCAGGAGTGGGGACTTCTAGAAAGGTGGGCAGCAAGCAGACCATGACAGCTTGGGTGGGGGGAGCAGGTGTGTGAGCCTTTCACGTCTCTCCTCTGGACCCCCACCCCCGTGGTGAGGGAAAGGGGAAGCATGCGGGGAGGTGGGGGTCCCCAGAAACTGCACGTCTGCCAGACATCACAGCCATCCTACAGCGGGGCTGGGGCTGCTCTTGGGGCGAGGGCTGCAGCTGGCAGAGCCCCTGCCCTGCTGTGGAGAGGGTCAAACCTGCGCCAGCGGCTCTGCTCCAGTACTGTAAAGAGGATGGAAATTTGCCAAGCAGTGCCCCCAGGTGGTCAATTCCAGGCTTGGTGTGGGTTGAGGGGCTGCAATAGGGTCCAGAGCCCCCACACCCTGTAGAAAGCTCCTGCATGGGGGGCAAACGACCTGGGTCTCCACCTGGTTCCCGCAGGTTTGAATGTGTCCCCCAAATTTCATGTGTTAGAAACAATCTCCAGTACAATGGCATTGAGTTGTGGGACCTTTAAGAGGTGATTAGGTCACGAGGGCTCTGCTGTTAAGAATGGATTAGTGCTGTTATGTTTGCTATGAAAGCAAATTCAGTCCTCTCCTGCTCTCTCACGGGCTCTCTCTCATGTTTTCTCGTCCTTCTGCCTTCCACTTCCCACTGTGGGATGTTGTAGCAAGAAGACCCTCACAAGATGCGGGCCCCTAGACTGTGGACTTCCCAGCCTCCAGAACTGTGAGAGCTAAATCTCTGTTTCTCATAAACTACCCAGTTTCAGATGTTCTGTTACAGCAGTAGGA